GGGGGGGGGGGGGGAGGACGCAAGGCAGGGGATAGACGAATCAGGCTGACAAAACAAATAAATCGGCCCATTATGTACAAGTGGCTCAAGTGGCAGCCGACCACGAGTTTCCAAGAGGCATTTTGAAAAGCATTTTATAAGAGCTAATACACTCCTTCGCTGGTGTATTTCGTAAGCAAGAAATGTAGGTGAAGATAAATATTTTTTATTCCCTTTTTTTTCTCTCTCAGTAACAACTGACCGACTTTACATCAGTACTTCGCCAAGTGCCTTCTCTCTGATAAGTACGTGTTACTCAACTCTTACGAAATACCTTCACCTCCCCACCTTCCCTGTATCCCCACCATAACCTACGCAAAAGAGCATCGACCAATTACATGGTTTACGCACTTTAAGTTACTCCGAACGCGCAAGGCGTGCGCATGCGCGGGCTATTTCCCACCGGCCACATTTTCACGAAGCTCGCGCGGTCGAATCTCACGTCTGTCGCCGCAGTTTGCCGCTTGGGGCGCTGCGGTGGTATCATCCACTTTGTTTACAGGGAGAAAAGCAGGTGACACGCTATGCACGCGTTTCCGTGTTAATGAACAAAAAATACAGATACGCATCAGTATCGCGTTATTCTTGAAAATAATAAAGGGAATCGTCCCGTTATTTTTTCATTCTTCTTTATTCACTCCTCGATTTAAATCGATGGACGTTGGACGCGACGCTTAGGTGGGACGTCGAGATCAATTCAAATTAGATCGATTTATATTTGAACGTCATATTTTCAATTATAAGATATATATATATATATATAATCAATATATTATATACGTATATATATAATAATTCATACGAATCCACGTCCCTCCCACTTGCAACTGCAGAAAAATGCTACGCTCTGCCATTTTATCGTACTCAATGGAGAACTGACCTTGACCGTTTTACACGTGGCAGTGTTTACGCACGTGGATGCAGGCGTACCAGAAATTGCGTTTCCGAGAAATGCAATAAAAAAAAAAGTTCCCTCAACACACAGACGCATCGGAAACAGATCATAAGCAGATCACGAAGTTTGTAAATTACTGTAGAGATTTTTAATCCAAGAAAAAGCAATGTATGACACGTATCAGCCGTATGAGATCTGGAGCGTGAAAATTCTAGCATCTTACGTGTGCACCTATGCGTATGCGCACGTGCATTCATGTACACGAGTAACTCAGGAAAGGCGCTTAGGTTTAGTCTTTTAGTAATATATAACGTTATAGTTGATATACATATACAGATACATATAACATACTATAGGGCTTCAGCAGTAGCATCGGTACACGTGTGAACACGACATAAGTCGATCGCGTATGTTACGTAATAAATAATTACAGTGTACCCAGTGTACACGTGTAAGATAAAACTTTGGTGATATCGATTTTAGAATTGAATTTAAAGTTGCAGGTAATCAATTTTTTTTTTTTTTCGAAATCGATCAAGTTTCATTCGGATGTTGCGACTGATTGGATATAGTTAGGTCAGGTTGGTCTGCTTAAGCTATGAGATTATACAGGGTGTTTCGAACGCAAACTGGTATATGGAATTGCGGATACATTTTTTAAAAATATTGATAAGCTTTGTGACCTAGAAAAAAAATTTTTATCGTCATTAATCATCTTTTGTTCACCCTTGATAGGGCTAGGCTCTCGTAAACCGTGTTATGCTAATCCCTTTCTACGTTCAACCGGTTCACCCTCTATATGGAATTATACAGTTTATACCCGTATTAATCTCTAACAGTGCTACCACGTGTATTTGCGTATGCGCAACCAATTCGAAAACGTTACGAGGCACATTCCTTGACGTACAAGACACGTACGAGCGAAGTACAGTGGGGGACGTTTATTTGTGAGATTTTATTGTCGAACCGATCGTTTCGTTTGCTGTAATCATAACACGTTTTTACGATCGGCTACGAAGTGAACGACTGAACGAATCCTGTTACTGACATTTATTACGCTAAATTTTACTAGATAAAAAATCTGGAGTGGGGGTAATGTTTTTTTTTCTTTTTTTTTTTCAAATTTGAAAAAATGCGAGGTGCAGCGAAAATTTGAATTTAACATAAAGAAAAAATTGAGCACCATTTTTGTGAATTGCCTTTGTTTCGAAAGGAGGGGAAATTTTTTTTTAATTTCTCAGAGATCATTTACCCCGGACCAACGGCGTCCCGAGAAGTGTCTTCTAATCTATTTTTGCATTAACGCGTGTGAATTCCTGCGGCGATGTTCTATTTTCGCGAAGTGGTCCTGGGAGGATGACGAGGCGTGGTGGCTGGGGATAGTCAAAATAGAAAATGAAAGGGGGGCTGAAAACGAAGCATTCGGA